TAAATAAATAAATAAATAAATAAATAAATAAATAAATAAATACATACATACATACATACATACATACATACATACATACATACATACATACATACATACATACATACATACATACATACATACATACATACATACATACATGAATGATTCAAAGCTCTTTTTGGAATGTGTTACTTGCCTCGTACATGTTTTGTAGCTTAAGTCTGAATCTGCTTACACCAAAGTGCCTAAGCTAGAACTACTACTTAACAACAGCCACCTAAATAACAGGGATGCAAACCTAGGAACCAGATCCTGTGGCAAACCCAGATGCTTACCCAGATCCTCACATCTGCCCCAACAACAGTACTACAAATTATTAATCACATTCTCCATAACATCACAGGTTAATCCTTCTGTTCATTTTGCAAAGTGATACATCTCTCTATATATACAGAGAGATGCGTAGCATCAGTTGTCCTTCTGCATCGTACACAGCATGAACTGACCAGTCTTCAAGTAAAGCAATACATGCACACAAATCTGGCACCAATCTCAGCACCCTAGATTAAACTCTCATTGGCCTTAAAGTAGCCACAGTGGAGCGAAATAATTTTTAGCACAGATTGCAGTGCAAAACAGCAGTTTCATAACATGTCAAGAGGTTGAACTCTATCTCCTAAGGTTTCCACTGGGCAAAGGCGTTTATATAACAGCAGGACTTAGTAAATTCAAATTGCAAGGGTTTCTATAAATCATTATTTTGTGGATGGGCCTCACTTAGCTAATTGATGCTCACTGTACTTTCTGCATTCCATTTTCCTCTGTTTACAAATCATCACCACACCAATGAATTGTTCAGATAGATGTATATGCTTACATATATAACTCAGCATAATATTTCATGCTTCTAATGAAGTGGACTGGAAAACATTCCACCTGCTTCTCCTATTCCAGATGTTCTCCACATATGTTGGAACACAACTCCCATCAAAACCATATAGCATAGTTGGGAGACCAGGTTGGGAACAATTGCCTTGCCTTATGCTGTCGTAAATATATTGCTCTTCATGGTGCATAAATATTGTATGCTGGATTTACAGCAATACATTAGCAATACTACACTCTAGAAGTAAAAACAGCAGAATCTGACAAGAGGCATGCTAGATCATCCCCAAGGCTGATCTAGTCCAGCATTCTGTCAGCAGAATTGCCAACCACATGCCTGCAAGAAGCCAATAACCAGGGCATGAATCCCATAGCACTCTCTTGCTCATACTTCATAGCAACTAGTTTACTAACTCTCATAGAAGAGAGTATATAGTATAGCTATAATGCATACTGGTCTTTGATAGTATTATTCTTCATGAATTTGATCTTTTTGTAGGCATCCAAGCTGACGGCCATTACCTTCTTCTTCCTTCATTAATGTGTGCATTAATGAATTATGTAGTTTAGAGCGTGATCACACTATGGAACTGTTCCCTGCTTATACACAAGTTGGGTAAAAGTAAAGGTTCCCCTTGACATTTACTCCAGTCATGTCCGTAGGTTGCTCATCCCTGTTTCCAAGCCATAGAGCAAGCGTTTGTCCGAAGACCGTTTCCATGGTCACGTGGCCAGCACAACTAGACACGAAACGCCGTTACCTTCCCACCAAGGTGGTACCTATTTATCTACTTGCATTTTTATATGCTTTCGAACTGCGAGGTTGGCAGGAGCTGGGACAAGCAACGGGAGCTCACTCCATCATGTGGATTTGATCTGCTGGTCTTCTGACCTTAGCCCACAGCACCACCACGTCCCTATACACAAGTTAGGTCATAGCTTAATTTTATGGTCATATGATGCATGGCCATTTGCAAGTAATTTTACCAGCTAGTGGTGTAACTGTGGTTCAATCCCCACTTGCCAGGAGGCATCTATTTCTTTGTTCCAGTGGCACTTTGATATACAGTGGTGCCCCGCTATACGCTTACCCCGCATGATGTTGAAATCGCTTAACGATGACATTTTTGTGATCGCTATTGTGATCGCAAAACAATGGTTCCAATGGGGGGATTTCGCATTACGTTGATTAGGAGCCTGCTTCACCAACCGTTTGTTCGCTATACGATGATTTTTCCGGTTCTGCAAAATGGCTTCCCTCCCTTCTCAAAATGGCTGCTTTTTGCAGGGAAGCTTCGCATTACAGCAATTTTGAACAGTTGATCAGCGCTTCTCTATGGGCAATCTTTGCTGGACGATGAAGTAGTTCCCCCATTGGAACACACTGATCGGTTTTCAATGCATTCCAATGGTTTTTTTTCGCTTGACGATGATATTGCTTAACAGCGATTTTCCTGGAATGGATTATCGTCATCAAGCGGGGCACCACTGTATTCCTTTACAGTATGGCATGTGTGTATGATCCTATCAATACTTTTTTTAAAGCAAATTAACTGGGAAGGGAGCAGTCTTTATTGCCACATGGCTGCCCTTCTATATAAAAATATATTCATATATTCATTTATTTTTCTGTGGCCGAAATATCAATGCATTGGTAAACTTCTGTCACTAGGTTTAAAGCACAAGCACTCCACCAACTGTCTGGCAAGCGGAACAGTGCTGGTGGGAGGTGCCCGCTCCCTTGAGGCAAGGCATTGCTTCCAAATGCCCCTGTGCAACAGAGGGAATTTTACCCATCAGGAAACATTGCCTGACATATCAATGCATTGCTTTAAAAAAAACAAAAAAAACAAACAAACTTGAGGGACTTCAGCAGCCCATAAAACAGGAGAGAAAATAAATTGGTATCACACTGTAACCAACCATAATGATTCAAATAAAAGGAAATGAATCAGTAATGTTAAAACACATTGGGAGACTCATCCAGGTATATATACCACATGACTGCAATGCATTACAACAAAAGTATGGAAAGTATTGCTAAAAGTGGTGAATATTTCCCTGATGTATGAACAAGTACTTCCTTCTGTCTGTCCCAAATCTCCCACCATGCAGTTTCACTGGATGACCACAGATTCTAGTATTACAAGAAAAGGGAAAATGCCACTCTTGTTTTCTCCATACCATGCATCATTTATATGCATCTGGCTCTCCCCTCACTTGCTTTTTTATCTGGCTTTGCTACCGCTCTTGCATTCAGCTTGATATAAAAGGAAACACCTTGATTAGATCAAATATTTTTCTTTGCTGTTTGTTAACAAATGAGCTATTGAGACCAGAATCCTTAGAAAAGCTAATCTCAAAGCAGTTGCAAAACTTCAAATAGTTTTGCTATTAATAGGAGCCCTAATCTCAAGAGAAAGTGTGTAACAGGCCATGAAGAAAATGGAATGGTTTCTTTAGGTTATACATGTGACATTAACTGCTTCCTGACCAATCACAACCATGCAATACAGGACGGACTAGAGATGGTACAGAGCAGCTTCCACAGATGAAGAATACAATATATAATAAAAACCAAAATTGGCTTTGAGGATGTGCTTTGTATGGAGCTGTGTATTCTTGCATGGAGACAGTGACTTCAACACAGACAAAGGATAAAAGCATTAAAATGTGGATCTATCACAGGACGACTCAGAAGATGATGGTTGAAGAACTACTAAAAGAAATGAAAAAAAAACCCCAAGAAATCATAAATCTGATAAAATGCAGAAAGCTGTAATAATTGAGTGAGGTAATGAGAAATAGAAAGTACAAATTGTTACTGTGGATAGTTAAAGACAAAATAAATAGGGAAAGAGGTGCAGGAAAGAGAAAAATGTACTGCCTGATGAACATTAGGGACTGGTTTGGCTGTGACATAGTGCCTGAAATGCTG